GTCCTCACTAGAACCGAACTGTTGTTTTTTTTCATACGTCTATTATTGCTAATGGAATTATTCTAAGTCCTTGGATCTACATGTGTATTCAGTGTTAAGTTTCTGTGTTTGGTTCCCGATAAGACGACTGGTTCGTTTCTCTTCTTTCTACCGCACACAAGTTGTTTTTATAAAGAAGGGCCGGCACTTAAAGAATTAAAGGGCCGGCGTTTGGGTAAAGTGTTGCCGCTTACAAATTCTGTTCTCTCGTGTGTTGACGCGAGCCAACGAGAAAACTCGAGACTCGCGAGAAAAATAGTCTAATTAAACTAATCAGCTGTGAATTACTTTAAGATTTGTAATTAATATTCTGTGAATTAGGGGCTTCTTGTTATTTGAAAGAAGTAAAAACTTATTATTTAAATAATATTCTATTAAGTACTTGAAGTAAAGAGATATTATTTAACTAAAGTTCTGTGTATTACTTGAAGTAAAATAACATATAACTAATTATCTATACATTATATGAAGTAAGAAACCTTAATTTAAATATTAATTAAAGTAAAAAAAATAATTATCTAATGGTCGGTGGATTACTTGAATTTTAAAAAATCGTTCATAACTGCGAATAAAAAAATTATAGTACTCTGTGAATAATGTTAAGTAAAAAATATATAACATTCTGTGAATTAATTAAAGTAAAAAAAAAAAACCAATAGGGCCTATTTTTGAATTACGTAAAGTAGAAACACCGAACTCTGTTAATCACTTTAATTAAATAAAAAAAAATTCAATGTTTTGTGAATTACTTAAAGTAAAAAAAAAATTCTATAAATTACTGAAGTAAAAAATAATCTGAAACTATTTGGCAACTTGGCAACAACGTGATCAAAACATACATTTTATGTTCAAGGTTTGAGTAAACACATCAGATTAAAATAGCACCGTAAAACGTGGATATTTCATCGGGTGAGGTGGGGTGGGGAGGGGGGGGGGGTCATTGGATCTGAACGACTACACTACTTTAGCATTTGGAGACATTTTATTTTTGGGCGCTTGAGCCCGACCTTGGGCGTGTATGAAAACGTCGCTAATTCTCTGGTTGTTTGTGCTTGATTCGTGACGTGATTTTATAATTATGGGGGAGGGGGGGGGAGCGGTAGGGGAGGGTAATTAACCCAGCATGAGGTTATTGATTAAATAAACACACGTATGACAAAAGCTATTAATTTGTCTCTCGATAATCTATGAATGTCGAATCGATAATCTAAAAAAACAAATCTATGTAATAATCCTAAGTGGTATTTAGAGTCTTTTATAATGTTCGCAATCAGAAAAACGTCCTGAAATACCTCTTTACAAAAAGAGGTTACGCTGGTACGTCATCCGGATAATTGTTGCCTTTTTTATTCATGTTTACCCAACATTTTCCTTGGCTTGAAGCTATAAAGAGCAATTTGTAGAGTAAATAGAATAAAATAGTCGAGTCGACCAATCTTTGTATGGGGTTTGGGGTAATGGAATCGGGACATATAGCTAACTTGTTATGCATCCATTACATTGATTTTTAACTTTTATTTCTTGTGTATCTAATAAGAAAATATTACCTGTTAATAAAATATATTTTATGTTCTTAGTTAAAATGATTATATAATGATTTTGTTCTAGATTTCTATAAATTGTCATGTCTGAAACAGCGCTATGCAAGTGACATAAACGTAAAATGACAAATTAAAGTATAGATTTTTTTTACTTTTCTTACGAGAAAACATTTCAAATTTAATGTGGCCAAAATATTATTTTTTATCATCCACCTTTTTTTGCTTAAAGTGCATATTTGTAAACTACATGTTACGGTGCATGTTTGTAAACTACATGTTATTTTATGGGAAATAAATTGAATCTGTAATGAATAACATTTGGTTTTCTTATCTACTTGTGTCTTATATTTGTAATAATAAATGATTGTGCCGAAATTCTTTAGTCCCTGTAAAAAGATGCACGATCATTGTCTCCAGTAGGGTCACAAGGTGGGGTCATGGGGTGCGGGCCGCACAGAGTGACACATCCCAAAGGCATCACACCACAACGAAATACAGCTATGTTTCAGTTAAATTACTTATTACAGTTATATACATCATTAGGAGCAGTTTCACGCCATCCAGTATATGGGGGTGGGGGTGGAATACCCAGTGGCGTAGGCAGAGGGGGGGGGGGGGGGTTAGGCGGGTCATAACTCCCCGCCATAGACCCCTCGGTATATATATAAAGTATGAGGGGGGTGTAAACCGAAAGTTTGAGGGGGGGGGGGTGTAAATCTAAAGTTTGAGGGGGGTGCAAAAGTTTGAGGGGGGGGGTGCAAATCGAAAGTTTGTCCCCGGGTAAAAATGTGACCCCCCCCCCCCCCATGAGACTGGGAATACCGATTGAGTTTTACGGTGTTCGGATGGTAGAGCTTACTTCTGCTAGCCTGAAAGTCTCGGGTTCGGATGCCGAGTCCGTAAGAAGTCCATGAGTCCACCCAGTTCTGACGGGCACCAGACTTTAGATAGTAAACACAGCTCGGCATTGTGTTAACACCGCCATGTTTGCCAAGGTTATTAAAGCTAATAAACGCTACTTCATCTGCGCTCTTTGCCTTTGACACTAACGGAAATAGATAGAGATATACAGTCGCTGATGAATAGGGTGACACCTTGGGTTACTGTAATGGGCGCCCCCCCCCCCCCCCCCGACCTAGTGAAGCCACTGATTCTATCATAGAATAAGACCAGGGTTTGACCATTACAATACAGATCGAATGTTTTGTCTGATACCAGGTGTAACAAACTGTCTGGTGATTTCACCTCAATCAATAACGGGTATCGATTTGTTTTCTCCCGTGGTGTAACGACTTGAAAATGAAATCGAGGTTATGATAAACTTGCAACGTTAGGGAAAATTATGGGATGGGGTGTTGAGTTGTTGGTCATGAAGGTGACCTGGGGTGGTCGGGATGTTTTCATCGTGTGGGACAAGTTTGTTTAGCTGACGAATATTTGATGGTGGGGGGGGGGTCATAGTGGTGAACTAATTTATTCATGGTCTGAGGTCATTTGTGTTTCAAGTTATTGGATGAATTCTTTAATGTATTCATGGTCTGATGTCATGTATTTGTCAAGTTATTGGGTGACTTTGTGTTCGCTTTTTGACGGACATATTTAAAGAAGCCGATCAGTGTTTCTTTCAGGCAGAATTTGTCTAGAAAATATATAGTTTTACCAGTGTCCACCCCACTCTCTGGAAAATGTAGCCCCCCCCCCCCCCCCCCACCCCACCCGAAAATCGGGGCAGATTTATTTTACATTGATTCTATTGATTCAGTGTTTCTACCAGACTTTTTCTCCGTGGGAGGGGGGGGGGGGGGCGGACACTGGTAAAAGTTTATGTTTTCTATATAAATTCCATTTCGTCCCCCCCCCCCCCCCCGGAAGAGATGCCTGGAAGAAACAACACTCAGGGTCCCAGAGATTCGATTTATATGTGACAATTTATGTGTGCCAATGTATGTGTGTCAACCTGCCCTCAACTCACTGTTCTCAAGAAAAGAATAGAAATCCGTTTAATGTCCGGATAACTGTACATTCAGGGAACCTTGTCATTGAGTTTGTACGCTTTGAACTCATTGATTTTCGTGTCGTATTTAATCGGAAATTTCCAAATTTTAGGATTTAATCATACTAGATAGGGCTCTTTATTAAGTTAATTTATTGCTTGGTAAATTGGTTTTTTTTTTTGCTTTTGTTCTTTATTTTCTTATTTTAATTCTAAAGTTATTTTCTATACATGTTATCGAAAACAGTATTTTATTATGTACCGGTAGGTCAATAAATCCAAAACAATCCATTTTCTATATGGACTGCCAAGAAACACAACGAATTAAAATTTATCTTGTTTTGGTTACGTTTAAGGAAACTTTTATTTAGTAATTTTATGGTTTTTCTAAAACAATTTTGACTATAACAAAATTGATGCATGGGATGCATCAGATGTTTTTTTAGATTTTCCGACACGTTATTTTAAGTCAATAGATAAAAAAGTAAAGTTACCCTTTCTTGTCTGGGGTAAATAGGGTAAATGAAGCAAAGCTTGACTTTTTATATTTGCATGTAAACTGTGGCTAGTTATTTCCCCTTCCTTCTTTACTATCCCCAACTTGACTCAAATATGTCTACTAATCCGAGCTGAATGGAATCAGAGCTTGGGATTCGATCTTGAGCAGTGGCGTAGCGAGGCCGGGTGTCACCCGGTGCGGCACTTAATGGTGTCACCCCCCCCCAGAGGCGTTGCGACCCATCCCGAGGACAAACTTTCAAGTTTCCGATTTGCACCCCCCCCCCTCCTCAAGTTTTCGATTTGCACCCCCCCCCCCATCAAGTTTTTCTCTATATATTTTGCTATTTTTTTGCCTTGGTGTCACCCCACTAAATGTTGTCACCCGGTGCGGTCCGCACCCCCCGCCCCCCCCCCCCCTCCCCCTCGCTACGCCCCTGATCTTGAGTGCTGTCGTTTTAGCACTACCGCCCGACCAGGTTGTCGCATTATCTCCACAGGCACTCAGTCGTTCAACACTTGACTTATTGACTTCACGCTAAGTCAAGCAACCAGTTGCAATATTTATTGTTGTTTTTTTACTGTTATGTATCATGTGACCCGCATTGGAAGGGGGGAATAAAATATACAGATGGAACAAAAACTAAGAAATGTTATGATGTTTAATTTCTTGACGCTATTCATGTTGATTATTCAAATTCGAACTGCATACAAAGTTTACATTATAAACTCAGTGTCAGCATTATTTTCTAAAATATATTTGTATATAATAATATCCAAGTAACGTTTATGTTTTACCTAAGTTTAGAATGCTATTAATATTAGCTGAGAAATGGTATTATGTAATTTGCAATAATTAATTTTTTAATGTACAATAATCAACTAGATACAATAGTTAATTAACTAAGGTTAGTTTGTGATTGACGTACCTTGCGTTGTATTAGACAAAGATGCCATTGTTCTTTCAGGTGATACTCCAGGTATTTACAAGTCAGACGCCAGCCTGGGTGACACCTAACACCACGAATACGGACACCAATAAAACCCAGTCACCAGTGAGCAAAACACCAATGGTGTTGACAACTCGATCCCACGAATGCACACCAATAAAACCCAGTCAGGTCACCAGTGAACAAAACACCAATGGTATTGACACCTGACACCACGAATTCAGACACCAATAAAAACCCAGTCACCACTGAACAAGACACCAATGGTGGTTGACACCTAACACCACGAGTTCGCCTGTCTAGCAGCGCGGTACAGCATTATCATGACAGAGCAGTTCTACTACACCTGCGAGTCTCTATCAGGTCACCCCGAGTTATGTCACAGCCAAACCTGTTCTGTTGCCGTTGGCTGAAATCTATCAATTCTCCACTCCAGCTAACTAATCGATGAGATGGGTTGTTTTTTTCTATCGATCGGTGATCGATTTTATTGACAGGTGAGTTGATGGAGATAATAAGCGTTGGAATTTCTGGAGTGAGGATTTGTCAGGCTAAGCGGTTTTAGAATATGGGAGGGATTATGTGGTCATGTTATGTGGTGGGGGTGGGTGGGGGGATTATGTGGTCATGTTATGTGGTGGGGGTGGGTGGAGGGATTATGTGGTCATGTTATGTGGTGGGGGTGGGTGGAGGGATTATGTGGTCATGTCATGTGGTGGGGGTGGGTGGAGGGATTATGTGGTCATGTTATGTGGTGGGGGTGGGTGGAGGGATTATGTGGTCATGTAATGTGGTGGGGGTGGGTGGGGATTATGTGGTCATGTTGTGTGGTGGGGGTGGGTGGGGGGATTATGTGGTCATGTAATGTGGTGGGGGTGGGTGGGTGGAGGGACTATGTGGTCATGTAATGTGGTGGGGGTGGGTGGGGATTATGTGGTCATGTTGTGTGGTGGGGGTGGGTTGGGGAATTATGTGGTCATGTAATGTGGTGGGGGTGGGTGGGGGGGATTATGTGGTCATGTTGTGTGGTGGGGGTGGGTGGGGGAATTATGTGGTCATGTAATGTGGTGGGGGTGGTTGGGGGAATTATGTGGTCATGTAATGTGGTGGGGGTGGTTGGGGGGGATTATGTGGTCATGTAATGTGGTGGGGGTGGGTGGGGGTAAATTGATGTTGTATTTTGAGCTCCGTGAAAATCGTTTTACTTGATAGGATGACTATGAGAATCAGTGCTCAACTATTTCTATGACGACGGTGTGCAGTAAGATTCTATGGTTTGCATGATCCATGACCCAGCTACACCAAGTTCTAAAATAAGTTTCCACTTGTATTAATTTTCCAACCAATGTTTTTTAAGTGAGTCATACTGAATTATGCCATGCTATATTTTAATGATTTGTCGCAGTGGATTGTATCCCGCTGCGCCCCCCCCCCCCCCCCCCCCCATCCAACAAGTTTTAATGATTTACTATATTTTTTATTTTGTTTTCCTGGTAGTTTCAAACCAGTCACGCATGATATATTCATGCAAGCACTACCTGCCATTCTCTACATTCCAGTGAGTTTGTATGGAACAGCTTCAAGAACTCTATTACTGTTCCAGTGTTGCTTAAATCGATTGTGATTGCATTGTGGTAATTTGATATCAATGAAATAACTTTTTTTTTAAAGCAGAGTTACAGGAACTTGTTGCGGTTGTGAGTTGTTTGTCTTATAACGTTGATTCCTGCCTTACAAAAAGGCGGCAATACATCTAAATATTTTCTTTTAAATTTTATGTTAAAGTATAACTACATCCTTATTGGGTTTTTTTTAAAAGTTATTTCAACCCATTCCTTGTTGTAACATATATTTAATATATCTCTAGGACCGCAAGCAGAGGCGTAGCAACCCATTCCGGCACCCGGGGCGAACTATCAACTCTGCGTCCCCCCCCCCCTCCCGTGTATATTGTTATTCACATTTGGAAAAAGCGCCCCCTAAGTTGTATAGTTAATCATACTGGTAAATCCCCCCACCCCCCAAATTAGGCAAGGTCGGGGGCGATTTTTACCAGTCACTATCCCTTAAAGGTTTTTATGTAAATGTCAAACAATTGATGTTAAAAGCAGTTAAATAAACCCGTGAAGCCAAGTAACAGTCTACTTTTTTTTTTACTTGGACTGCGTATAATTAAGTGATGCGGCTCGAAATGAAGTTTATATTTTTATTTTTAACCTACCCCGTTAGTCGCCCCCTGAAGGTCGCAACCGGGGCGGCCGCACCACCCACCACCCCTAGTTACGCCTCTGACCGCAAGCTGTCTACACATGAAATAAGACAAAACCTCAGGACACGGAAGACAGGAGCTGATAAGATGGGCCGTGTCTAGGAAGTTACCTGGTAGGGTTTTCACAGAGGTAGAACAGATTACAGTAATTGTAGCTTTGTCTGACGCGGCATGCGTACACTACACTGGGGATTAAAAGATTAGTGATTATAAGATTATCGCCAGTTAAGCGGGGTGACAGGTTTTGTTGAAGACACAACGCGATCATTTCATGGGTTGACTTGAGTATTTTCTTTTTTTGTGTGTTGTGTGTGTTGTGTGTGTTGTGTGTTTTGTGGGATGTGTGGGTTGTGTGTATTGTGTGGGTTGTGTGTGTTGTGTGGGTTGTGTGGGTTGTGTGTGTTGTGTGTGTTGTGTGGGTTGTGTGTGTTGTGTGGGTTGTGTTTGTTGTGTGGGTTGTGTGGGTTGTGTGGGTTGTGTGGGTTGTGTGTGTTGTGTGTGTTGTGTGTGTTGTGTGGGTTGTGTGGGTTGTGTGTGTTTTATTGGAAGGGTGTGTAAAGCAGTGTTTCTTTCAGACTTTTTTTCTCAGAGGTGGGGATGAAGGACACTTGAAACTATCGGATGGGGGGAGGGGGCGGACACTGTAAAAGTATATATTTTCGAAAGCCTCTGCCCAACCAAGAACAAACTACAAAGCAGTTGTTTGATTTTGGAGTTGTCTCTTCTAAGTGGCTGTCCCCATCTATCGAGCCTCACCTGCCCGGGGGTTCAGTCAATGCAATTCTCTGAAATGATGCATGCGGCTCAACTATTAGGCTAAAATTTCCTCAGGAAGTTTCTTAGGTCACTAGATCTGTTTTTCTGAAACGGGGTAATAGGAATCGACTATTAGGCTTAAAATTACTTATTCTGCCGAGGTCACTAGATTTTTTTTTTCTCTCTTTAATGGTGCATTAGGCTAAAACTACACCAGAGAACCTGCTTGTGGCAATCGCTATAAGCCACGACATGCTTTGCGTGACACGAGAATTACTGAATGGGTAGCACGCATGTCACACTCAATACAGCATGATTTTATCACATAAAGCGGGTGACCACCACTTGCATGCCCCACTATAAAATGATTTAGGACTTAGGTCTCCTGATTATGATAATACTATAAATGCATGAAACTTTAGTAGGAAAAGATTATCAAAGAAGAATCGATGATTAAGTCTGAACACGTCCCTGTTGTAGAGGAAAATGACTGAGTTCGATCTGCTGATAAAATCACATGAAATGACCATGCATTGAGAACCACTGATTAAAACTATCGATGATTTGAATATTTCCATGATTTACAGTACTCTCTTATCGACGTGTAAACATCGCCTTGTAACCCTCTGTCCATTAATAACAAACTCACGACATTGCACGCCATTTGATAACATTTTTAACCAATAAAAAAATCATAAATTTAAGTGTTTTTAAATGCATAAATTTACATATCAAACTCATAAACAGCATTTTGTTTTACAGTTCGCTCACATTTTATCAGCTACCCTACCGAAGTGAAACACGCTATGATTATTAAAAAGTCGTCATTTTTCTACACTAGTCAAGACACCGATCGATAACTATCGAAATATGATCGATTTTCAAAGCTAATCTATTCTACAATCACGTTTGCTATTTTTTTTTTATAAAACGTGTATAAAAATGAGTTTAATTAGAATGTTTTTTTATTTAATTATAAAAATCCTTAAACGTTTAAAACACTTCAAATCTGTTTTTGGAGACAAATTTTACTGACGTGTGCATTATGCTTATGGTAAAACGTAGGAATATGTAGACCAAAATAAGGTCTTATGATCTGATCTGTAGTTGGTTGATGTGTGGTAGGTTCTACTTGCCCACAGCCGCGGACCTTCTCGTATACTTAAAGACCTTCTGCTGTACAATGTCGCTGAGAAAAATGTCCTGACCATCTTTAGAGACGCACAGGGCGTGTATCAGAGAGGGACCGCTGCTGGACACAGCCTAGGGGTGGACAGTTGAGGGAAAGACACATTTTAGGCGCTACTGTTAGTGGAAACATTTTAGGGGGGGGGGGGGGGCTGGAGCCAACCACCCCAAACCCTACCTAAAGACAGGGCCAAGCCCCCAACTCTACCTAAAGACAGGGCCAAGCCCCCAACTCTAGCTAAAGACAGGGCCAATCCCCCAACTCTATCCAAAGACAGGGCCAATCCCCCAACTCTATCCAAAGACAGGGTCAAGCCCCCAACTCTAAAAGACAGGGTCAAGCCCCCAACTCTACCTAAAGGCAGGGCCAAGCCCCCAACTCTACCTAAAGACAGGGTCAAGCCCCCAACTCTACCTAAAGGCAGGGCCAAGCCCCCAACTCTACCTAAAGGCAGGGCCAAGCCCCCAACTCTAAAAGACAGGGCCAACTCCCAAACCATACCTAAATACAGAGCAACCACCAACTTACTAAAAGACTAAGACAACCCTATGGAGCCAACCACCCCCAACCTTACCTAAAGACAGGGCTAACCCCCAACCCTACCTAGAGAGTTAGCCAACCACCCCAAACCTTACCTAAAGACAATGCTAACCCCCATCTCTACCTATAGACTTAGCCAACCATCCGCCAAACCTGCCTAAAGACGGGACCAACCCATAGGTAAATCAGCTCAACCTTGACCTTACCGGTGTTATCTGCGACCAAGCTTCCTTTCTATTGCCTTCAAGGTCATATGTAAACGCACGCGGAGGGTACACGAGCTGGCCTCCTTCTGAGTAAGCATCGCGGGAAATCTCACCCGCGGATATGACGTCATTTCCTGCAATCAGAATCACATACTCAATGTCAGTAATTGATGTTTTAATTTAATTCACCTATTACTATACATAAACACGCCTCCACCGGCCCTTGATTAAGATAGATTCTCATGAAAGAAATCAATTTGTCATGCAGCGTTTGTAAACTCTGAGCTAGCTAAACTCTGTCAGCAGTAGAAATGTTGGTCTTTGTGTAGATTTTACCTACACAAACAAAACTTCAACACACCTGCCTGGTTGTAGTAGATAGAAAACACCTTGCCCGTCTCGTTAAATCCTATCAACGTCCTATTGAAGGTACCGGTACTGAGTTCGGCTGAGTTCCCGGCGTTGTAACACAAAGCTCTAAAAGAGAATTGGAATGTGTGTGTGGATACTTTTAAATCATGACTTATAGAGGTTTAATAAACAAATTGGAATGTGGATACTTTTAAATCATGACTTATAGAGGTTTAATAAACACATTGGAATGTGGATAATTTTAAATCATGACTGATAAAGGTTTAATAAACACATTGGAATGTGGATAATTTTAAATCATGACTTATAGAGGTTTAATAAACAAATTGGAATGTGGATACTTTTAAATCATGACTTATAGAGGTTTAATAAACAAACTGGAATGTGGATAATTTTAAATCATGACTTATAAAGGTTTAATAAACAAATTGGAATGTGGATACTTTTAAATCATGACTTATAGAGGTTTAATAAACAAATTGGAATGTGGATAATGTTAAATCATGACTTATAAAGGTTTAACAAACAAATTGGAATGTGGATAATTTTAAATCATTACTTATAGAGGTTTAATAAAAAAATTGGAATGTGGATACTTTTAAATTATTACTTATAGAGGTTTAATAAACAAATTGGAATGTATGTGATGACGCTAGTTTAGGTCGGAGAGGTCAAGTAGAAGTTAATAGAAACAGGCTATAGCTAGTTGGTTAGACAGACCAATGAAATACAGGAGCTGACTGGTCACGTGGGACGGTCAGCTGACCACTGAAGCGTGGATCAGCAGTTAGGCCAGGAAGTTAGAGATAGGAGGTACCGTCAGAGTAAAGATGTAGAGAATTAGATATAGTGTTAGCGATGGTCAATGGCGTGTGTAGTTAGTAGAGTTAGTAAACAGTAGATAGTTTAGGTTAGGTAGATAAGGTAGGAAGTTGATTGTGTAAATTGTAATAAAGAAAATTATATTTTGACTTGAACTTGTGTGTTGGATTTTCATCATCTTCATCACCCCCACTCTCACATTTGGGTGGTACTACATTTCCCCACCCTCATAACTGGCGGAAGATCTTCTATTCACCCCCACCCTCACAATGTGTGTGTGTGTAAATAATTTTAAGTCATGACTTATAAAAATTTAATAAACAATTTGGAATGTGTGTGGATAATTTTAAGTTATTACTTAAATTATTTTTAAAACATCTTATGCTTATTTTGAGCACCTTTATTCTAAAAGCGGTATAACGCATAGACAATAGCCTTCACCAGCGATCGAACAATACCTGTTTTTACCTGCTATGCTCCCGATCGGCCACACAAATCAGATCAAGGTGATCGATGTAGGTGAGACTATGGGGTGTATCTAGGGTGAACATCGTGAGGTTGTCTGCAGTTTCACATCACACCCAACATAGCCGAGAGGAGGGGGAGTGTAGCCAATTAATTAGAGATCGATATTGATTCGTATTGATCTATCAGTGTTTCGTTCACAACATATCAATAAGTGTTCATGAATAATAACTAGAGTTGGGTCAAGCTGATAGCTAATGTAAGCAAGCTTTGGGCGAGAGAGAGAGAGAGAGAAAGAGAGAGAGAGAGTATATCAGTCAATAGTGGGTCATTGTTCGTTGATTTAGGCAGTCAATCATGGGACCTAGTTCATTTAGGCAGTCAATTGAGGGACCTAGTTCATTGATTTAGACAGTCGATCGTGGGACCTAGTTAATTGATTTAGGCAGTCAATAGTGGGTCATAGTTCGTTGATTTAGTCGGCCAATAGTGGGACCTAGTTCATTTAGGCAGTCAATTTAGGGACCCAGTTAATTGATTTAGGCAGTTAATCGAGGGACCTAATTAATTTACGCATTCTATTGTTGGACATGGTCTTTGATTTAGGCAGTCAATTGAGGGAACTACTTCATTGATCTATACAATAAACCATGGTTACTAATTCATCGATTTAGGAAATCAATCGTTAGACCTAGCTCATTAATGTTTTGTGATTTTACATTGTAATACTTCAATAATATTTTGCTCACTAGGTTACTGCTTGGAGTATGTTCACAACAAAAACTGACTAATGTTATTTTGATGTTTTACCGGGCCGTATAGCCTTTCACTCAATGATTCCTAACTCCAAACTATAACTTATAATCGATAATTATCAACTTAACTGTTGAAAAAGTTAGAAAATATGTCAAATTATCGACAATTTTCTAGCTGATGGACGTACCGTTGTCAGCTCTGACTCCCCACTGCGTGATAAACCTCCCATCAGATGAAAACTTCAACACTCTGTTGTTGCAGTACCTGTTAGATCAGGCACGGTTAAAACGTGGCTGTTGTCTTTTAAAATGTTTTATATGGACTAAACTCGGTGATAAAACATTTTAAATAATGTACTAATTTTGCTTACAGTGGGTGCCTGGTTTAATACACATACAAAGACTGTTTTTAAAAAATGGGAACACTTTCCAGTAGACATAGCCAAATATGGTATTAATGGCGTTACTCTTACTGCTATATCCTATAAGGGTCAAGGTAATGTTAAAGCTTAAAGCTACAATTAGGGTCATCTTTAGAGATAGGATTCTGAGTCCACCCAGCTCTAATGGGTACCTGACTCACTTTAGGTAAAGTAAAGGCGGTTAAACATAGTGCTGACCACACTATCCATACGTGTGTCGTGGAACACATTAACTCTACTCCACTGTCCTAAGGATCGTAACGTCTGGAGGGAGATTTTTACTTACTTTATAGGGACGGGATTAGCGTTATCTTAACGGCTAGGGATAAAATGCAAGTAGTAGGTTTAATTACTAACTTAAAGCTGATGAAAACTATCAGGAAAAAAATGTATAAAATATCATAAAATAAATAGAAAGACAGTCTTGCCCGTCTGCTACAAAAAAGTCTCCATTTCTGCTAAATGAGACGTCAGTTGGTTTACAGAAATGTAGGTCATCGTTTCCGGGCACAAACTTTTCTCCCAGAATTAAATCAGGAGTGGTCGCCCCTTTCCTGAATCTTAGCACCTTAAGGATTAAAATAATAATCATTAAAAAAGTTTAAAAAAACCCACGTTTTCTGATTGAACTAAAAAGTAGAAAATAAATGCTATACATGACAATAATGCAAGCGATCACTCTACTATAAGCGATGAAAAACGTGGGGCGCCGAAGTAAAAGTTATATTACTATTGATTAGATAATACTATTGACTTTTATTAGGGAGCTTGTAGAGAGTCAACAGTATTAGAAACTGTAAGAAAATCACGGCGCCCCACGTTTTTGATCGCTTATAGTAGAGTGATCGCTTGCATTATTGTCATGTATAGCATTTATTTTCTACTTTTTAGTTCAATCAGTAAACGTGTTTTTTTAAAAACTTTTTTAATTATTATTATTTTCTACTTTTTAGTCTTTGTTTGTTTGCATTAAAATCTCGTAAAAGTTGTATAGCATTAAAGTCTCGTAAAAAGACAACTCGTAAAAAACACGTTGTGTGAATACGTTACTGACTAGAACACATAGATTTGAACCCGTGTCGAGTGGGATAGCAATCGTGTGCCCAACCACTCGACCATATTGTCTCCCCCATACTGGCCACCAGTTGTTACGGTTGTTTGTACACAAACACCGCGTGAACACTACTCAGTAAGCAAAGAGGGAGAGTACCGAACCTTGTTTTCATCAAATTACAGTTACTGGGTTATGTCCCTTTTTCCCCACGTTTTTTGTACAATTATATAGCGGTCTAAAATGATCAATAAAATGTTTCCATGGATCAATTTAGTAATAATAACAATTGAATATTCTATTGTCATCCAAAACAAAGCTTCCCTGAAAATTTCAGCGCGCTAGCTAACTGGGAAGTGCCAGAAATTTCGATCGCAAGATTTGATTGGAAAGACAAACAAACAGAGACGAAAGCAAGTTAAAGAAAACGTGGGAAAAAAACCAAAGTCAATGGGCTAATGTTGATATTACAACATAACAAATTGTATGATTGTAGTTGTGAAAGTAAAGGATAAAAAAACAAAGTCAATGGGCTAGTATTAACAAATTTTATGATTGTAGATGTGGAAGTAAAAGAACTGGCGTCTATGATTTACGCCCCACCTACCTGATGCCGCCCTACATCCGTCACCCAGATTGTGTCGTTAGCGTCAATCTTTAGACCGTGTGGAATGTTGAAGCTGAAGACATTACAAACATAGTGGCATATGTTTCTACTTTCATTTCTTACTAAAACAAATACATTTTTTAACAGAAAAAATACAATATATTTAACAGAAAACGTTTCAACTATCTACTTACAGATAGTTTTATTTCTTCGATTGATCATTCCTAACTAATTTTATATTTTAACAAATTTTTTTGTCAACAAAAAAAAGTGTTAAATTATTTAAAAAATTAAAAAAAAAAACGCAGCCTTGATTTACATGTCGCCACCAAAGCTAGAAATCTTCCTTCCAGTTTTGGGGTCAAGTTTGAATATGGGATCCTTGTGGATGGGGACCTGTCCGAGTGCTGATAGACTGTTGCTGTTGGGCTCAAATAGGCTGGGGATGAAGGATACTAGAGCTATTGCGTTATGTACAAACTGTAAGTAATTTTCAAACGTAACTGACAGTTTATTTTTGTTTAAGGAGGAACGAAACAGGGAATTCTGCTTTTTTTTTTAAATTTTCTGCCTTTTCCATCTATATTTCTCAGTCTGAAATTATTAGTCTCAATACTTTTTAAAAAATGTACTGGTCAGTATAAACTTGTCAGTCCCAACTTGTCAGCCGAACCTTACTCCTAATTGTGTTTGTCTAATGTACACGTCAGTCCAAACTTGTCATTCTAAACTTGTCATTCTAAACTTGTCATTCTAAACTTGTCAGTCCAAACTTGTCATTCTAAACTTGTCAGTCCAAACTTGTCAGTCCAAAACTGTCAGTCCAAACTTGTCAGTCCAAACCTACTCATCCGTCCACGGCCGGTCAGCCCTGTGAAAGACGTAGAGATCGCCCCGTGAGTCCACGTCCACCCCAGAGATCATCCCAATCTCCTGACCGTCTGTGTTGAAGCTGGCGTCTTCCTGGGGTACCTGTATACAATTGAACCAGCTCTATTAGAGCATACCTCAGTTGTGTGGAGATATGGGTAAAGAGGTAGATAGGGTACTTTTATCGCATATTTTCCTCAGCTTTTCCACTTTGTCTGCTGAAGATTGTGCCTTCCTGGAGTACCTCAGCGAACTGGGCAAGCCCTTTTATTATTTATAGTTCACTCGTGAAGAGATGGTATGAGAGAGCTTATACTCCGATTGTCGACATCCTCACAATCCCCTTCCAACCACCCCTCCCCCACCTTGTTAGCTGGGGCTTCCTCCAGTAACTTCACATACATAGACAAGCTCTATCACTTCATTCTTCACTTTAGGAGTGAGTGGACATAAATTAGGGTTGTTGATATTTTAGGAGTGAGTGGACATAAATCAGAGTTGTTGATATTTTAGGAGTGAGTGGACACAAATCAGAGTTGTTGATATTTTAGCATTGAGTTGGCATAAATTTGGGTCATCGATATTTCTTCAACATTTGTAATTTTTTTTTCTAAAGTGAACTCGAGTTAAAATATATATAGATCTAGAACTAAAGGGACACAACTCCGATCTAAGAATGTCTTTTTATAAACTTGGTTATTATAAACCTACCTGCCCAGCCACTGTGTTTACAATTACAGCCAGGTATAGGTGAAACAACATCTTTGTAGGCTTCACTATTAATTGTGTTAAAATTTTCTGTTTGTTTTTGTAATCCTACCAAATTTTTAGTCAACTTTAATCTATGCCACTCTTTATCTGTCTATTAGTTGTTGGTGTTTTTTTTTTTAAATTAAGGTTTGAAAATAGCACATTTAGAAAAGATAAGAAGCTTTAAAACGCTGAGTCATGTTGTGTGTGTTTGGTTAATTTTTTTTTTCTACAGCCTATTTTTCCCCAACAGTTCATAGATTTTTCAATGAGTTCATTTAAGTTCATTACTTTACATTGATTAACACACAACAACCAAACATATCACTGTATGCTGTATGTGTAGAAATCTATCACTGTATGTTGTATGTTATGGTAGCCATATATCACTGTATGTTGTATGTGTAAAAATATATCATTGTATGTTGTATGTTATGGTAGCCATATATCATTGTATGTTGTATGTCTATGGTAGCCATCTATCACTGTATGTTGTATGTTTACTGTAGCTATCACTGTATGTTGTATGTTTATGGTAGTTATCTGTCACTGTATGTTTTATGTTGACTGTAGCTCTCCACCTATCTTTGTATGTTGTATGTTTATGGTAACTAAGTTTTACTTCTTCTTGTCCATGATCTAATCATTGTTCAATCTGTCACAGTCAGCGATATAGACCTATGACGCAAGCTATCCTCTTCACTCCCTCTCGCGACTCGCAGCTCCTCCTCCAAGTCCTGATAACTTCATACTTTTCGTGAATAAAACAGTAGCTTCCTCTCATATATGCTAGTATTATTCGTAGTTTTTGACGAAATTTTCTTTTATTTTAAAATTTTACATAACTTATTAAGAGAGTCGAGTTTGTGTTCAAAAATGAAAACAAAACATAAATATTTTTTTCATTTTTTTTTGTTTTTGTTTCACTGTTGTTCAATAAAATCGATAATTATAATGGACATTTTTTAAAAACTTTACCAAACGAAAACATTTTGTTTGGATAGATCCAAAAATAAATTTGAAAAGAAACGAGTTTATAAATGTGTTGTGGCAAGTTTTAGAAGAGGTTGCTGTTGGAACTACTGCACGCGGTAGGTGTATTTGTAGACGCGGTGTTGGTCAAGGTCAGCTAAAAATAAACCCTGGTCGTCTGGTGACGTACACAGGTCATGGATGAGTGATTCGCCGTACTTAGCGATAGTCTGGGGGAAAACAAATCACATTTAAACGGGGAAAATAAAATTGTTTCACGTTACTAAAATTAGATTTTAGTCTTAATCTTTTTCTTTACAAAGATTTAGTTCAGGTAAATGCATTGGGGTGTGTCGTTTGTTGGGTTAAGTAGGGTTGTGAGATGATAGTCGGAGGGTGAACTAAGTCATGTCTTTGTCCATCCGCTGACCAACACAAAAATTAACACTAGTGCTAATAAAGGTGTGATTTGATCAACGTTCAATATCGACTGACCAACACAAACCGACCAACATCCACTAATCAAAACCTACTGACCCACACACACTGACCCACACACACTGACCCACACACACTGACCCACACACACTGACAACCACACAGTGATCAACACACTGACCCACACACACTGACCACCACACACTGACCCACAACACTCTGACCCACACACACTGACCCACACACACTGACAACCACACAGTGATCAACACACTGACCCACACACACTGACCACCACACACTGACCCACAACACTCTGACCCACACACACTGACCCACACACACTGACCCACACAAACTGACCACAACACACTGACCCACACACACTGACAACCACAAACTGATCCACACACACTGACCCACACACAATGACACACACACACTGACCCACACACTGACACACACACACTGACCACCACACATTGACCCACACACATTGACCCACACACACTGACCACAACATGCTGACCACAACACACTGACCCACACACACTGACCCACACACACTGACCCACACAAACTGACCACAACACACTGACCCACACACACTGACAACCACAAACTGATCCACACACACTGACCCACACACAATGACACACACACACTGACCCACACACTGACACACACACACTGACCACCACACATTGACCCACACACATTGACCCACACACACTGACCCACACACACTGACCACAACACACTGACTACAACATGCTGACCACAACACACTGACCCACACACACTGACCCACACACACTGACCCACACACACTGACTCACACACTGACCCACACACACTGACCCACACACACTGACCACCACACAAAAGACGACCACCATTAATGTTACCGGTGTGATACGGACCAACACATACAACACATACAATAACACACACAACACACACTGACAAACACACTGACGAAAAAACAATGACCAACACAAATAACACAGACTAACCAACAAACTCCACATTTACCAACGTAACACCTCATCAATCAATGTATTTACCTGCTGTACTGTAATAAACCGCGTAGATTTTCCCCGCCTGATTCTGTGGGATAATCGTCCTGTTAAATATACCAGTTGTTCCCCCTATTAGCCCAGCATTGTAGCAATTTGCCATGAGGAACAGTAATTGTACAGTATTTTATTATTATTCTCAGCGTTCTAGTTTAAGTAAACGATAACTCTGTAAACAAACAATACCAGATCGGTTAATTTAACTCCAATAAATTGCTCATGAGCTTATTTTTTATTCTTACTAGGCTTTGTGATGGGGAGAGTGGGTGGGGTTACACGACCGTAATTGATCTACAAGGGAGTGGGCAGATGACGTAGTGATTTAATCCATTTGTCCTGAGATCATTTGTCCTTGAGATATTTTGTCTGAGATATTTTGTCTGAGATATTTTGTCTGAGATCATTTGTCTGAGATATTTTGTCTTAGATCATTTGTCCTGAGATCATTTATCCTTGAGATATTTTGTATGAGATATTTTGTCTGAGATCATTTGTCTTGAGATCATTTATCCTTGAGATATTTTGTCTGAGATATTTTGTCTGAGATATTTTGTCTGAGATACATTTCTTCTGTACATTTTGCAATTATTTTTTACTTTGGTGACATCCCCCATACATGGTGTCACCCGGTGTTGATTTTGCCTGCCTGGCAATGTTCTAAGCAATATGAACAACAAATGCTGAAAGCTTTGTTGTAATATTAAATACAAGTTAAATTTAAGAGTTAAGGAGTCAAGGCCCATCTAGTCAAAGTCCGAGTTACTTCTTAATTAATAGTTACTAGATAAATGTAATATCTAGATCTAGAAATTAGCGTGTTAGTCATGATTTTATTGAATTTCTTTCCCTACATGTTATTTAAGGCATATATTAAATCTACAATTCAATTGCAAATACCAAAAAGAACGTTCAGAAGCTAGCTTGCCCACATTATCTATTAATAGATCTAATATCAGATTATAGTGTAAATATTGTAAGTATACAAGGAAACGGAAACGTGTGCCGAAGGGAGATAATCGCCTCTTCCCCGAGTCCGGTTGTGATATATAGTTTTATTTAATTTTTCATGCTGTTACTTGTTTTTACAAGCTTTTATTTGACTTGCTTCCTCTTTCTGTCGTCAGTCTGTCGTCATAAATCGAAAGGGGCGAGCAAAATTTCGGGCACTTCTAACTGACAGATTCCTTTCAGAGTTAGGCCGTGGGTCAAGACTTAAAGACAATTCAATCTGACATCAATCTATATACTATTAAAACTCAAGCTTGTTTACAAGTTTGTATATTTATTTGTTTATTTGTTGTTGTTTTTTTGTTTGTCCGTTTGGTTACATGAGAACATATGCACTATGTGTAGAACTGTAAAATACGCATTTATGTAGAAAATAATCTTCTATTTTACCAAACACAAATTTATTTAAAGACGTTAATTAATGTATTGATATATTCATTGGTCGATACACCCCTTTAATCATAAAAGTTCAGAACAGACGCATTATTTTCTCAAAATCTTAAAAACTGTCACGGGCTTATTTTTCGTTTGGGCGTAACACCAAGAGACGTCACTGTATCCATCATTTGCGTTTGGAAAATATTTACACCTAGAATTTGCAGGTTGTTTTGGGGTCAAATTATGTTTCTAATATTTTTTTCTCTAGGAACGCATCATTACACTTGAATTGTTTTATTCTAATCTCTTTTTAAACATTTGTTTTCGTACTAAGTAGATCCACACATTGAAAAACGATGATAGCCACCTAGAATTTACTTCCTGGTAAGGATACGGTTGCAACGCATACGATATTAATCTAATCGACATGGCGCAGCCTGCAGTGTGCTATTGTTAACTATTGCTAGTTTGATGGGAAAAGCACAGAGGCGTAGCTAGGGGGATAGGGGGGGCGCCCATGACGCCGACACTGGTGGGGGGGGGGGGGCGAAACAGGTAGAAAAAAAATATTATTTTAAGCTGCAGTTTTGAATTTTAAACAGTCAAAGTAAAGAAATTTAAAGGCTACAAGCGTTTACATACTGATTTAACTGTTTTCTATCTTGATTGTGTAACTGTAAAACATATACCCTTAAGACACAGTGACCGGCAAAAACGGCTTTCCAGCTATTCTTAGATGGAGCGGGGGGGGGGGCTCTTTTTCGCCGACTAAAATGAAGGGATTTACACTGGATTAGTGAGTAGATAACTATTTTAACACTTAGAAAAGAAGCCATATTAAAGCGTATTGTCTAACAGTAAAATAAAAAAAAAAGATTGTGGGTGGGGGCGCTTTTTCTCCGAGATAAATAGGAAATTTTTACACCAGAACGGTTAGTAGATAAATCGTTCAATACTTAAAATAGAAAGCAATTGTATTAACTCTTAATGTACTATTTCACTAGCCAGTTTTGTTAAGAAATGACGCGACTAGTAATTTATACGATTCTTACGATTCTCTCAACTTCATCGAAAGAGATCAGAAAGTTTTACTTGATTGCATTACATCTTGCCTGGATCACTGTATTAAAGAGAAATAAATACCACGGATTCTTGCATTGCTTTCAGATCAGTAAAATAGCATACGGTCGGAACTGGTGGATGGAGGGCGATACTCTTTGCCAAAA